CACTCTTTCTAGGCTTTCAAGCCTTCAAAATGCCAAACAGCTCTTGCGAGCAAAGACATTAGCTAGCTGCTGTGTCTCCAGCTCATTTTTGGAGGCATCCTGGGCCAGGGGGACAATCTCAACCAGTCCAAAAACTAGCAAATGCATGCACAACCCCTTGCAGTTTTACCTCATTAGAGACCACTGCAAGGTAACAACCCAACCCATTAGCTAAAAAAACCCAACAACTATGGGAAGAGGATGCCTGTCCCTCGGATCTGGATTCATTTTGTCTACACCAGCCATTAGGCAGTAGCACATTTCAAAGCCTGACTTTTAATCAGCCTTCTTGGAGTGGAAAAGCCACTTAACGCCTGAGCGCCCCACTTCCCCCTCAACTCACATCCTCCATGTCATCCTCATAGTCCATGGCATCCTCCTTGTGGCCATCGACACGCAGGAAGAACTCGCTGGGGACATGAACCATCTTGCCATTGCAATCTTGGTACTCGGCTGGCAGAACGGCCATGGGGCTGATACTGAGCGAGTGGCACATGGTGGGCAACTGGAGCAGCTCAGGCAGGTCCAGGGAGCTGCGGTAGTCCAGGGACTCTGCCCGGTGGTGCAACGAGGGCCTGCTGACCGTGCTGGACTTGGCGTCATCGGAGTCATCATCTGTGCTTCCTTTCCCCTCCCCGGAGAGCAAGGACTCTCTTTCTCCTGACTGGTTCTTCTTCTTGAGGCTCGGGGCTCTGCCCAGGCTATTCCAGCTTGAGCGTCGGCTTCCCCAGTTGCTGCTGGTGCCCCAGTTGGCGCAAGGGGAACTGCGGAGGCTGGACTGAGAGAGGAGAAAGACATTTGAGGGTTTATTTGCAGGAGAAAGCCAAAGGATATGGCATTTTGCCCAGACTGGAAGACCCTTCTTGTTGCAAGTCATGTCTTCCCCTTCCAGCTTTCCTCACTGCTCCGATTGCATCATGCCAATACCTTGAGATGGGAGGCAAGCACCCAGCTAAGCCCACAATGAAGGTACTCTTTGAACTACACCTGTAGCACTTTCTCTTCAATTTGCTGCATAAGGAGGTGCAATGAATGCTTCTCTTACAGCAAATTTCTGGCACTGGTCAGTGTGTCAGTGCACTTTGGCTGGTAGGTAGTTGCCAGGATGAGAGCACTTAAGGTCAGAGCAGAAAAGCTAGAAGGAAAACTCCTTTTCCCTCCATGGCTTCCTCTCAGCACAAAACGAGGCAAACTGCCTTCCTCCTCCTTCGCAGTGTTGGCCAGCTCTCCTCTGACTGCTTCATCTTCCTTTGGCTGGTGGCACTGATGTGCTCTCAGAGAAAGGATTCAAATGATGAACAACCCTCTCCAGCAACTCACAATCCCATGAAACCCCAAGGCAAACAACAGTCATCTCTATTTTCTTTTCAAAAGCATTACCTTGACTAAGCAGCTTACCAAAGGGGATAGTGGCTCTGTCTCTGTGTGAAGTGCCTTCACGGTCTGCTGCCTTGATTTGAACATGATATTGCAGTTACAGAGCAGAGGAATAGGACAGATAAGCAGCAGCAGAAATCCACTTTGTCTATTAACTCTGCTCCCTCTGTTTTCATAGAGCTGCCCTCCCGCTCCCCTGTTGCAGGCAAAATGCAATCAGTTGCCAAAGCAGTCAGCTCCAGCCAGATCTCTGCTCCATGAGCTATGCCTGGTGGCAATCGGTCAGCTCATACCTTGTTTCCTCTGTTTCCCTTCCAATGGAGCTGCTGTACTGTAACTGGAGCGCAGCTGCTGTGTTGGTAAGGACAAATGCTTCATTTCCCTTGACACAAGGTGGATTCAAGATGCAACGTTAAAACACTGTGGGGGGAAACAGGCCTCATCCTCACAGGAACACTTGACAGCTTCTCCAAGACACCACAAAATGGCCAGAGTGGCTGGCAAAAGATGCCTGCTCCTCCTCAGAGGGGGTTGCTAGAATAGCTGCACGAACTTACAGCTTGTCTCAGGTTGCGTCTCTCCGGTGAGGTGGCTGGGCATGGACTTCCAATCAGATACTAGGCAGGAAAACACTGAATCCCAGTACATCCCTGTCTCCCCTCTTCATATACTCACTGTCCTTGACTGCTATGTTGTCACTGACCTGCCCCAGCAGAGCACGCCCACTCATTTCCTCCTGTTGACTCTGTTCTCCTCCTGCCTTTCCACATACTTCTCACCTCTATCACCCTCCTTTTTATTTTCCAGCAGCGCGTGCGTGCACACACACATGCGCACGCATACACACACACACGTATCATCTGTGCCGCTTGCAGGCACTTGAGAGTTGTTAGCAATAGGAACCTACCAAGGACTTCTGATCGTAGCTCAAAGGGTCTAGCGAAGCGTTACTCCCTCTCCTTGAGTCCACAAAAGTGTGCACTGAATCCATGTGTGGGGAACACTTCGGTGTAGGCATTGGTGTGGCAGCAGTGCGCATGATTATAGGAGGTGGCATGCTTCCCCTGCCCTCCAGGTGTCCATTTGGGGTGACGGCAAGTGAGTACATCTTCATCTCTGGAGAGAAGGGGAGAGAATACAAGGTGAATGCTCAGCTACAGCTACAGAAATCACTCTTCAAAATGGACATTGCTCCTTAGGTCTTCTAGGAACTCTGCCAAATGGAGATGAACTGTTGTGGGCAATAAGATCACCCCCACCACGCTGAAAGGTATAAGGCAAATGTCACGACCTTTTAAGAGGCTTTCAGCCCTGCCTGGACTTGGAACTCATTGCCCTCCAAAGGAAGCTTCTTTTGCTCACTGTTTCTTGGGATTTAGACAGTGGAGTTACAGTTTTGGGGGACTGGGAGAGAGTTTCCAGGGAAAGGACATTAAGAACTGGCCAAATTCACCCTAGGAAGTTAATCTCTTCTCCCTGTCATACAGTCTTACACAGAGATTTTTATGCAGCTCTGATGTGCTCTAAGTTCCTTCATGGGGAATGCGCTAAGCAAACATTAGTCATTGCCTTTAGTCATCTGTTCAGGGGACAAGAAATGGAAGTTGTTTCTACACATCATAGAATCATAGAATCGTTAAGGTTGGAAAAGACCCTTAAGATCATCGAGTCCAACCGTTAATCTAGCACTGCCAAGTCCACCACTAAACCATGTCCTCAAGCACCACGTCTACCCATCTTTTAAATACCTCCGGGGATGGAGACTCAAGCACTTCCCTGGGCAGCCTGTTCCAATGCCTG